TCCTTGCTGTGGCCTTACTATTTATTCAAAGCCCTATGTCTTTCTTTTATAAACTTTATTGTAATGATCATCTGGTCACCCGCAGCTTATATATGCAATCATATGACGACTTATTGTGTCCATTATTGTTTTTTTATATTAATGTGAAGGTGAACAGTGTAACTTGGGACATGTCATTTTACTTTGATAAGAGATAGGTGTCTGTTTTGATGAAGACCTGATGCAGTAAGTACTCGTCCTTTTCTTTGAGCATATCTCACGAAGACACTTTTTATATCTCAAGAGGGATGGGGTTATGTAGCTTATCTTTCACTCCTTTGTAATGTTGGCATATTTAATGAACTTTACAATTTCTTTTTTTTCTTTACCCATACACACAAAATCACCCTCTCACACTGACGATAAATAAGGACAAAAACAGAAAACTTTGGTTGCAAGTTTTATTATAAGTGTTTATGAATGTCGGTGACAAGATGTTTTTATATCAGATGTTACATATAAAAGATATGGTTTTGTTGAGTAACAACGACGGCGACGACACGATATTTCTTTCTCACATTGCTTTTTACCCATTATTTGTTTCAAGATAACAGTACAATTAGAAACTACCAGACATTATGTAGAGTACCAATACTCAGTTACCAGCCGTTAGTATACTGGCGGCCATTACATTGGTAGTTTACATACATTGGTTAGCTTTTACATTGCCGGCTTAGTAAAGGCTAACCTATCCATGTGCATCTATATGTACCTTCTTGTTAAGGAAGACATAAGTTCTGGAATTTCTGACATACATGATGTTTCTGTTTTGAAGTAGGGTACCAGCTGGTCACGTACATGCAGTGATGTTAAACATCTCAATTAACGGTGTTGTTAAGTGCTGCTTTTACATCAGCATTTAATTAATGTTAAGGACGTTGTATTCTTAACATACACATGTACAAGTTCTTATCTTCTGTTATCCTGAAGCAGTAACAAATCCCACAGTTAGGAACGACATTCAAAGTAACTTAGATCACTGGTCAGTTCAAATTTGGGAACTTCAAGCCTGTTTCTTAATTTGAATGGCTCAGATTAAAATTCTTTGCTTGAACTGTGCTGAAAAAATTGTATATATTTAGAAAGAGAGGTTGAATCATATATAGTGTGGTGAATTTGACGGTTTGAGGAATTTGAGGGAAAAATAATGCTACATTCCCAAATTTCAATGGACCATATGCTAGGATGTTTTCTTGTTAATATCAAACTCTCCTGGTCAAGTATTGACTTTTTTAAATTGATCGTTGTGCAGTGTACATTTAGATGGAAAAATGTAAACTCAAAGATGTAACAGCACATAGTTGCCTTTTTTATGACTAACAAAGGGATGGTAAAAAATCAGGCCACGCCAATTTAAGAGGTTGTTTCTTGGGCCAAATGTTTTCAAGTTTTTGTTGAAAACGCCACATGCAAAAAAAAAAAAAACACACAACTTATTCAGTTATTGGTTCATTCGTTCCTGGGCTTACTTTTTTCCAAGTTTCTGTTCTAATTTTTGTTTGTTAGATGAGAGTTTTGGCTTTGAATTTGGATTTGCCCATTGCAAAGTTAAATGAATGTGGCTTTAGGAGAGTTTGTACTAGCTTTGCACTTGCAACCATTTAAGAAAAGCATTATAAGCAGAAAGTCACACAGATTAATACACCTATAGACACCAGCAATGTTAAAAAAAGGGTTGAGCTGTCTTTCAAACAGTATCAAATTTCACCTACCAAATGTTCTACCAACTGTTCGGGCCTCTATAGATATTCTATGTATAACACAGAACACCAGACAAAGTCGGAATGCTTAGTTGAAAATTTGGGAAGGGGTACCCGGGTAGACTGTGATTGTGTTTTTAAGACATACCCCAAACCTTAACCATCTTATGAAGAAAAGCCAAATCATGCATGTAAAACAAAAAGAATTATCATTCTAATAGAAAATTTCTTTTAAAGATTTGAAGAGATTTGCCTATACTTGACTTAAAGAGATTTAAGAACATCAAAATGTAGTAAGAAAACCTGAATATAAGAAATGAGAATATGTTAGATCTTGACCACCTTCTCGGAAGAAAGAAAGAAAGAAAGAAAGAAAGAAAGAAAGAAAGAAAGAAAGAAAGAAAGAAAGAAAGAAAGAAAGAAAGGCAGAAAGTAAGAAAGAAAGAAAGAAAGAAAAGAAAAAAAAAAAAAAGAAAAGTGTACTTCTACCCACACAAAAAATGCACCAGCATGCTAAACCGTGCAGTCCAAAGTCCAGATTTTCACATCATCAACAATGGATGGACCTTTTTTTTTTACTTCGTGCGGTTTTTTTTCGTAGTAAATCTCCTGGGCCAGGTGCCACCTTCACTATGTAACATAGGATTAGTTTCAGAAAATCTGCAGGAACTAATCCTGTTGCTCCTAATTGTTTTTTTAGGTTGGACTTTATTGTTCAATTAGTTAGAAAAAACAAGATAAGATCTAGTCATTTAGCCAATACAGTATAGGAATTTTTTTTCTGCTATCAGTTATCAGTTTTATGGTTATTTTGATCAATGTGCCAAATGACCCATCAATGTATAATATGATACAAAAATCCAAGCAGACTTCTTCTTTTATCTAAAATTATAGATATCTGGGTAGGAGTTAAACAGTGGGGACTGAACCTGGACTGCCCAGTGGGTCATTTTAAAAACCACCTTCACCAAGACTTAAGGAAGTGAAAGAAAGAACAAAAGAAAAAACAAAAGAGGATGAAAAAAGTGTACTATCACCCACATTAGAATATTCTATCTCAGGTTTAACAATGAATTCCAAAGTCCAGATTTTCACATCAGCAACTTATTTTTTTCTTACTTCATGTTGTCTGGGTGTAGTGAATCTCTTGGATCTGGTGATTCGTTTTAGAAAATTTGTATGAAATAATCTTGTTGCTCCTTATTACTAATTTAGGTTGTTTATTGTTTAATTAGTAAAACAAAAACATAGTTTCAGAATTTTTAGTTCCTTTTGATGTTATCAGTTAATCCCCATGGGCAATTTAATCAATGCGCAAAATTATCCATCAATGCAGTCTGGTATGATGCAATAAAGTCCCAGCAATTTTTCAACTAAAAAGTGTAGATGTCTAATAGGCTAAAGACCCAAACAATTGGGCCGGGGCCTGAACACTCTAGTTGTAATTTTTTTCTTTAAACAATGCTTAGAAAATCTGCTCGAAAAAGTCTGCAAGGGGTCCGGGGGTTACCTAAACACACCTCTAGGATCTCAGATGGGCCGTTTTCAAACAATGCTTGCAAATCCTACCTGATTCTGAATCTACAAAGGGTCAGGGGGTTACCTAAACACACCCCTAGGATCTCAGGTGGGCGGTTTTCAAACAATGCTTGCAAATTCTACCTGCTTCTGACTCTACAAAGGGAGAGTGGGTTACCTGAACACACGCCAAATCAAGCGGGCCACACAAAAATTGCTTAAAAACCTACACGGATCAGCCTGGAGCTGATATGGGGATGTCTTTATACAAACGGGATGGCCGGGTGCCATCCCGTTTTAAAAAGGCATCCCCATACTAGCTCAGTACCTAGGAGTATCAGTAGCCCCACTGCATATCGTAAGGTACCCAGCCTATTTGCTTTGCAAAAATTCTTTAGAACAAAGGCTAAAGAGTTTCCTGAACACACTCTCGAGGATCTCAAAATGAGCAATGACTTCAGTCTGATCAGCCTTTGTAAAGTTTTAGTACAAAGACTAGAGAGTTTCCTAAACACACTCTCCAGGATCTCAAAATGGACTGTGACTTCAGTCTGATTAGCCTTTGTAAAGTTTTAGTACAAAGACTGGAGAGTTTTCTGAACACACTCTCCAGGATCTCAAAATGGACAGTGACTTCAGTCTGATCAGCCTTTGTAAAAGTTCTTTAGTACAAAGGCTGGAGAGTTTCCTGAACACACTCTCCAGGATCTCAAAATGGACAGTGACTTCAGTCTGATCAGCCTTTGTAAAGTTTTAGTACAAAGGCTGGAGAGTTTCCTGAACACACTCTCCAGGATCTCAAAAGGAACTCAAATGTATGTTTAACTGCATAAGTAAACCGCACATGTTTATAGAGGATAATGGTAAAGATTATATGTAATGATATTGTCCTAATCAAGCATATAGAGTGTTTTTTTAATGATATCAGATAGAGTTTCAAATCTGGCTTGGCCTACAGCGGGGGGCTCCATAGAGGAAGAAGATTTTCTTTTTCATAGTAGTTAGATTGAGTTGTTTTGTTCTAACCCCAAAACAAACAAAATCGATGGAATAGGGAAATTTATAGAATTTGTAGCAAACGGTTATGGAAAAGTAGTCTTATCCTTTCCTTTTCTGTATCAAAAATAGAAGGCAAGGAAGGGGTGCCATATTATGTAAACATTTATTATTAGAAAGGCACAACTTAGAATCGAAATGATTAATTTTGCAGATTTTGTTAACGAAAGTACACGGGTATTGATAGAGTAAGTGGATAAGACATTGTACATTACAAAAACTGATATACCAGTTAGGTCGCAAGCAAAGTTATAGCACCATTTCCTCTGGGCGATTCACCATATTGTCAGGAACTGGTCTGGTCAGTATAATCCTGTCATAATGAAAAAGTGGTTATTAGTGGAAGTGCGGTCAAACACAAATGAAACAAAATGCCATATTCTAATAAATAATATGCATTTCTGTATTTATTTATTTAAATTATCTTTTTTAATTATATTTTAGCTTTACAGTTTTCACCTCAAGAATAAACAAGAATTAGTCATTGAACTAGTGGTCGATTTGACCAAGGATCTTGATTTGACATAATTCGATTAAAGCGATTTCCAAGTTCTTTGGATTTCATTCATCGGGTATAGTTACTGATACTTTAGAAATTTATCACAGTGGAACTGGAAATTGATTATCAAACGATTCTGCTTGCCTCAATATATGATACAAAACAAGTTGTTATATTTGTACACTCACCGTTTGGGGTCCGCTCACAGATGAAGTACCTTGTATCGCCACATTTGGCATCGTTCCAATTACTGTTTCTCCAGTGTGTCCTAAAATACTCTACACAATCTTCAGGATTGTTGTACTGACCCAACCAATTTTTCCCCCCGTTATTTGGCTCAACTGGTGACCAGTAATTGAAAGACCCAAGAGACGTGCCATCAGGCCATTTCCATTGGCCTTCGCTCTCCCTGTCATTCAGTCCGAACCAAAAGCCCCATGAGGAGCTTTTAGCATTTTTCAACTGGATCAGGAAACTGTTAGTACTGCTGTCTTTTGGCATTGCAAGATTTCCTCCTGCTCCCTGGCTTCGGCAGTAGGCAGATGCATCGACCCAGTTTTTCGAAATGCTGAATGCTTTGTAGCACTTCCTGTTCTTACGTTGATAGTTGTCGCTGCATGTACCTAAATCGGAGCATATTAAAGTTTGTTACAAAGCAATTACATTTTACCTTACAGTGCCAATGATTGTTGAAGCCACAATCTCTAAAGATGCTGCAAGTAAAATACATGCAGCAACATGTAGACTATACAGTAAATGTGATTTTACTTCAGCTTTACCCAGTGGTGGCTTTTATCAGTAGCTGCCTGTTGTTCAGCAGTGCAATCGGAATCAGGGCATGTTAGATGTTGATATTAATAGTTCATCATGTGCATGGCTGTTGACACTACAATCTCTTTTATTGTAGTATACGTTAGCAGAAGAAGCTTTGCAGAGAATGTCTTTAAAAGGAGTGTATGTCCAACCTTCTAAACATAGCAGTTACAACAAAGATCTCGAAAAACAGGGGCAAGATTTAACATAATGGGTTTTTGCATGTCTAGTTTATTACTAATAAACACACTATTATAGCATCGTGTTTTATGGGAAATATTTTGTAGCAATAACAAGAATTCAAGTTTAAGATTCGAATTCATAATACAAGCCTAATGTCATTATCTAACTTACCATAATCGACATATTGTTGCAGGCTTTGTTTCACGTCGTTGAGCTTCGTTTTCCCCTCTTGTACCACCGCTTGAATATCACCTTTACGCCCCTTGATACACAGAGCTGTAATCCATGCAGAGTACCCACCTCCGATCAGTCCGTAGACCTGCGCAACTTTCAGTCGCATCTGTATGTGAAAATTAACATGCATTTACTATCATTTGTGGACAAGGTCCAAACCATCAGTTGGCTTTAAAATTATAATATTTGTAAATTGGCATTTATGGACAAGGTCCAAACCTTCAAAGCCAGCTATTAATTCGCTGTGAGCTATCGGCCATATGTATGAGAGAAATTACCCTTCCTGGTGTATATCCTAAGAACCCAGAAGAGTTATTAGTGAGTGGGTTTGAAATTGCAGAATAGAATACCACATAGAGGTCTGCCACATGTAGCAATATTACTTAGTATGATAAATGCAAAACGTGTACTTTAAAGGACCTGGTCATTTACAGCTAGGCCAGTTATGAATAAAAACAAAGGAAAAAACAAAGGAATATATACCTTTACGTTTACAGTACGTCTTTGAACTGTACATGTGCAAATTGTAGATCAAATCAAAGTAGTAATTGAAAAAGGAACAATATACATACCTTTACCATATCCTGTTCCAGGTCTCCTGCTTGTTCATTTAGTTGTTGACGATATATTTCGAATAGAGATTTTCCTCCAAACAGTGATGAATGCGGTTGTACCATGTCTAACAGATTGAACAATACCTGTAAGACAATTAACGAAAGAGTTAGTAAGACAAGAGTTAAAGCAAACATACTACTGATAACACTGAGTTTCCATCTTCATTGCACTTTGCACGGATAGCCCCGTCATTTTACATATACGTATTGATTTCCAAACCTTCTCTCACATTGACCATACGTCACGTCAACATCATACGTTTAATGACGTTTGAAGACATGCTCAAATGTGGTATTAGTAAAATATAAATTGAAGTCAACCATCTTTAAGCTTTATCTATAATATGGTACATGTATGCGTATTAATACATCTAAAATGCTTGGTATTCAGCAGTAGTCTCTAAGTGTATCTTTCAGTGCAACACATTTAGATAAGGCGATATAATCTTAGGTAACACTTTAATTACAACACAGTAATTACAAGACAGGGACTGGGGCGTTCGTTTCACAACCTTGCAATAACTGACAGAAAAATCAAACATGGTCCAGAACCATGGATTCCCATTACGTGCATCACCGCTCCTCGTTATATGATAAAATGTGTACCTACATTTCTGATTCCATCTGAATCATGGCTGAGGACGCTGTCTGCCCAGCCTTGCAGCTCGCTGCCAACATACTGGCCGTTACTGGCCCGGATACTGGCAAGAGTGTCCAGCACGTTCCTCAGTCGCAGTTCGTCTCTGGCATACAAGATAACTTGTTGTAGGTACTCTTGTCCTAGCTTTAGGTCACTGACGAGTTGTGTCAAGCCGTCTATCTTCCCGTCCAGCTCACGGATCTGATCTTGTATTTCGTTCAGCTGTGCGGTCGTTTGTGCAGCCTCGTAGCGGTCCAACGCGAATCCGACTACGCCAACAACGTCTGAGAACACGGCAAAGGCTGCCAAAGCCGTCGCAGCCGTTATAAGTTCCCGCTAGAAACAAAAAAGCACGACGTCACGTAACGATTTAATCAGCAAGACTTATGAGAAAGAGATCAATACATGGCCCAAAAATTAAGAAAAGTGCACCATTTCAGTATTAGATTGATCACCTTTTCACGTCCAGTCACCTCAAGAGCTGATCCTGAAATGCAACAGACAGGGAATTGCCGTTTGTACATCATGTAGATGAAGTCAGTCGTTGGTTGCTATTGGGAGTTGATGTTCCCCAAAACACCAAGCAACATTATATGCTTCATGCATTTTAAGCAATTATACAGCTGGAGTGTCTATTTTCAGTGAGAAAGACAGTAGATCAGAAAGGAGAAAATAAGATTAATAAATGTGGGATACAAAAACAACCTGAACTAATGTTACCTGTTATGTCTCTTTTAACTGAATCAACTTCACAAGTCCAGAGGCGGTTGGAGTCAGGTTTAATCTGAGAACCAGGAAGACAGACAACAGGATAGCAGAAGCGGCTTGATCCTCCACAGATGCAGTTGTCGTGATCAGATGAGCCCCACTGTTCTCCTGGCTGTAAGAAAACATTTAATTTTACTCTTTTAGCAAAAAAATTTTTAAAAAATCTTACTTTGTCTGGATAGCATTGATACTGTTGATTTTGCGATTTAATGTAGCAAATATAATACAACATGTAGCAAATATAATGCAAATTCAGCACGCGGGTCAAGACTTATATATCTTAATCCTACTATTTACTGCTTGCCATTTTCCTTTGATGTTTTTAATCACCTGGCGAACTCGGAACTAAGAGATCCCAAGTTCAAGTCCTGACATGCCACCGATATTGTGCCCTTGGGGAAGGCACTTTACACTACTTTCCTCACTTAACTCAAGTGAAAATGAGTAGTCCTGTTCTGTATTCGTCCTCAGCGTTAGTGGCGGCATAGAATACGTTGATATAACTTGAGCATGTTGTCACCATGTCTAGTCCGAAATGTTGGCATAAAAATTACCTGGTGGCCTTTACAACCTTTGTTTCTGACAAGTCCGTCGTCAGCTACCCTGCGAAGGTCGAGAGCATTTTCGTCTGCAACAGCACGAGTCTCTGCATTATCCGCTATCTCAGGCTCAAGAGCATCTTCTTCTGTGACATTAGTGATATTAGAAGTTACCAAACAATTACCAATGGGTCCTTTGCAGATCCAAAACGTAAAGTGAAACCTCTTATAGGTCAAATTTGGCCAGAAGGATTTGAATTTGCAACATGTTTATTAGTCAATGTTTTATCTGTTGAATGCAACAATGGAAGCCCCTGTGTTTTCATAAGTACATATTTTACAGATAGTGGCAGGGCTGCACATTTTTTTCCAGATGAAAGAGATACTAGCAACAAAGGGACAGGCAGTGAATTTTACCGAACTCTAGGGCTTTTTTTAAACTGATTTAAACCCCCTACAAGCGAGATTTAATGTTTGAATCTTTGCTAGATGTGGATAATCTTAAGAAAACTTATAAAATTTACCCTGCAGTATCTGAAGAAGGCTCTCCTCCAGCATGCTCGAGTTTACGCCGTTCTTATTGTCGTCAGCTACAGTATCGTCAGCTAACACGGTGTGGAGACAATGAGGACAAATTCTAGTTGGCTGACATATAGTTTTGCAATTCATGTACTTAAATGTAAGGCTAAGCTACACGTTTATTGGATATACTATAGAAAAGTCAACCAAAAAGGTATGAATTATTATTTAAACCTCATCAAGAGCATCACTAAGAATGCTTGTAGAATAATCCACTGATACCCAAATAAAGTTTCAAATCAATTAATACCATTATTCCACAGGTTAAGAGGTTTGGTTTACAAAGGCAACTATGTCTCAGATTGTTACAGTTCATGTGTTTCCGTTTTACTTAGACTTGTGCGGTTTATCCAAGGCAGGTTTGTACATTCCACTCCTTAAACTAATTATACTATGCACATGGATGACTGGATGATTTTCCATGTAATTACTATACCTTTTGGAAACAATTACTATTATGTAATGATATATGATATGCTCCACAACTCGGCACGTGTCTTGTATTGTCTCTCACAAGACCAAGCTACGAGTAGAAGTTGGTTGGATTTGACCAGAAGCGACACAATCCAATCCTACACAACATTACCTGTTGAAAAGCCGCCTGGACAGTCCCAGAGACCATTGGAGTCACGGGCGATCTCGCAACCAGGAAGGCAGTCAACGTGATAGCAGACACGATATGGTCCTTGGCAGTTACAGTTGTCATGATCAGATGTACCCCACTCGTCTCCCTCCTGTAAAGAATAATGGCTATTTCAGCAATCCAATACAATCTGGATAAATCTATTTTCGGAACAACCAACCGTTAACAAATTATAATGGTTGCTTTCGGATAGTTGCAAGGATATAGCAACACAATATACTACCTAAATAAGATAAAAAGACAATTACTAAGATGGAGAAAAGCTAAATGGCAGCAAACTGGCTACTGAATCTTTTGCAGAATTCTACAGTACATGTAGTTCGTGCCTGAGGTGAAGAGCTGGTAAGTATTATAACCTTTAAAATAAGGTGTTTATTCACCGAAATGCTGCTTGCCACTAACAAAAAAACATAATTATAAAAGATCAGGCAGACTCAACGTTAAACACATCTTTTAGAATATATCTAGCGCATTGTATTTTTTAATGGACACATGTTTCACATTACCTGATGGCCTTCACAACCTTTCTTCTTGATAAGTCCTTCATCATCCATCTCGGAGACGGCAGCGTTTTCCTTCTCTTCTGCAACAGTAAGTAAGGGTCTCTAGATTACCTGCTACCCAATGGTCAAGAGCATCTTCGTTTCATAGTATTGACTATTGTAAATGCTGATTTCAATGCCAACATATTTAAAACACAATTTTAATTGTTTTTTAAAACATAATTTCAAAACTACATTAGAAATACATACGTTATTTCAGCTCTTTTTAACATAACTTCAAACAGGAGGAATTCATTACTGAGGCTTTCATATGGGATGCAAAAAAGAACTGTCATGATAACTACCTGCGAGTTTATGGAGATCAGAAAGGATATCCTCCACACTCACCACCACCTGTTGCCTGTCCACGGCAGCAGCTGCTGGAAGGACAATTATTGATATCTTGCTATTTCAAGGGTTTTTATGCAAATCAAATTGACTGTGTGTCTTAGCATCACCATTATAATGCTTGTTCTATTTAGTGTTTCTTGTCCCATCGCGCTTTTTTTAAGCAATCCTGAAGTCATGTTGTTGCTTTCCTGAAATCCAGATTGTAGCCATGTATAGTAGGCTGTTGGTGAACATTTTTTTCTCTCTTTTTGGTGTATTAGTTATATAATTTGGTGAATGTGTAACTTCTTTGAATTATAGTTTCTAACGTTTTTGGCTTTTGTTAAGGACAAACTGTTTTCGACGGTACTACTTTTTGCAACAAACAGCTTTAAAATTGGATTCTTGTCAAGAGAATTTTTCAAATATCCCCCATTTACGGGAAATGGATGCTGTTGCCATTAACTTAAGATCATCATCATCATTTATTTCGAAGCCTATTAGCCCTGCAAGGCTAATCATTTAATGATCAAACATTAAAATTACATAATTACATAATCACATACATGGAAAATACAGTGAATACATATAAAAGACATAAATATATCAAAACATCAACAATGAACACACAAATCAATATTAACAAATTTAAAAACTATGACTTGAGGCTCATGTGACACTGTTTACGATAGCTTTTACACCTGAATAGGTTACTCAGTCTCTTAACGTGATGCGGTAGATCATTCAACAGCAACGATAATTGACAGTTGTTTTATTGAGAAATATCCTTGGCATTCATTGTCATACAATTCGCAACGTTCTATAGGATCAAAAATTAAGCTTCATAACAAGAAAAATCATCCATTGCGCTTATTGTTATATCTTTTCAGAGTCTCTACCATGTTGGACCTATCGGAACGACGCTGAAAGTTTTGTAACACTTAACAACAGAAAGAAGACTGTTATTTCTCTCTATTGATATTAGAGATGTATAGAGTGTATGAAACTTGCCTGAGCAGGTAGCTGGAAGGAGAAGCGCACATCCAAGCAAGATGGCACCGAGAACCCTCATGGTGGCTCTTCTCTCTAAAACAGAGCATAACAATTGTGAATAACACTGCTTGTCAGCGTTTTATGTGACTTTCTTTGACTTCCGAGCCTTTTATCATTCATGGTAGAGCCTCAGCTACACATTGTATTTATCTCTTTTTTTTAAATTCAAAACACAATTTCAGTCGAAACCCGTTATAAGTACTTTCACACGTGATAACAGCTGTATCAAGCATATCGCATTATTTCGCAACAAAAAGAAAGGTATAGATCCTCTCTAGTGATTCTTCTTCTAGTGAATTAATGAGATAAGGGGTCGCTAGCTCATTAATTCCCTAGATAGAAAACAAGAATTCTTCTTCTAGTGAATTAATGAGATAAGGGGTCGCTATCTCATTAATTCACTAGATAGAGAACTCTTCTCTAGTAAATTAATGAGATAAGGGGTCTGTGAGCTGAGGAGAAACATCCTGGTACCTGCCCTAAGAATAGTCAAGGAAGGAGGTAAGAGAGGAATGATTGTTGAGAACAAACTGGTCATCGAAAGCAAACAGTACGAACAATGGGAGATTCCTCGAAGATGGCTGCAGGACGAGTCTACAAATGGAACTGCTTCAGATCCTGTAAGAGAGGAAGGCGGGCAAGAATTAGAACCAGCTAAAAGCAGACGCAGACCTACAGAAAATGTGACAACCCAACCCGGCCAAGAGCTGACAAACTCACCACGCAAACAAGAAGTATCTTACCGATACCAACTTACCTACAGACAGCGAAAAGGAACTTAAGGCCACGGAGAGGCAGGAAAAGATGAGAACTGTTGATAATCAAAGATAAAGCTTCAAAGACAATGTAAGTGCCTGATGGAAAAAAGTACCACAACCGTGTAAGTTTTAATGCTTTTCAATTAAAGACACAAAGAAATTCTGAAGAAATTTGAAAGTTGTGTTGACTATTACGCACTGCTAACCTATCAACTCTTACTCCCTTTTACAATTTTGTCTTTTTCCTTCATACACATTTGATTACAATATTTTGTTTTGATCATCGAAATGTATGTCCACTTTATTTTGTTTCATTATCATTGTTGCTATAAGTTATGATTAACGTTACTTTTATTGTTATCACTTTATTTATTATCATCATTATTGTTATTATTTGTATTATTTCATTTTATACGTATTTTGTTTACACTTTTGCTATTGTAAATCTAGATCAATCAAGCTCAAAGGGAATAGTTAAAGCAAGGTTTTTAACCCATACTAAATGACAAATCTTAGAATAACTCTCATAACATTAAATGTAAGAGGGATCAGTAACTACTTCGAAGGAAGGAAAATTCAGGTGGCCACATGGTAAAAATGTAGACATAGTCTTTCTACAAGAAACCTTTTCAAGAAAAGAAAATGAGAAACAATTTTCAGTCATGGCACAACTCACGAGAAAGGAGTAATGATTATTATTATTATTATTATCTAATCCAAATGTGAACACAGATTTCGAACAGATAATTCTTGATCCAAACGGTAGATATATTATGGCAAACGGTAAAGTAAACAATAATGATGTAAGTCTAATTAACCACTTCTCACCAAACAAGAGGACAAAACAAATGAAATTCTTTAAAGAAATAAACAAACTAGCTCAGGAAAACGCCAGTGGGACAATTCTAATCGGAGAGGACTGTAATAATTCCCTCACGAAATTAGATAAAACAGGGGAAAGACCCTTTGATGACAAGGATTCTGCAATTAAGGATTTGAACTAAACTGTTTATTGAATTTCTTGAATTTAGTTGATGTGTGGAGAGAAAAAAATCCAGATAGTCGACAATATACTTGGCAAAATGACGGTATAAAATGCATGTTAGACTACTGGTTTGCACCTTATAACTTAGTGCACTTAAGTGAATGCAGCATTGATGTAGCGCCTGTCCCTGATCATAGAGCCGTGATTGTGACTACCGAATCCCCACTCCAAAAGAGAGGGCCAGGTTTTTGGCGCTTCAACAACTCATTGTTAGAAGATTAAACTTTTAATACACAAATGATAAATTTACTCTCAAACCTCAAGAATAATTAAACAAGAAGATACCCAAAAGCCAGGTCTGCAATGGGAAATAATTAACCCTATCTAGACCGGGCTTTTAATAGTTTTATGGGCTTCGTGGGACGGGAGTGGGGGTGTGTGGCTCATTCGCCCCCCCCCCCCGCCCTCAGAACTCGCGAACGGTATATCGTATGACCACCAAATTTTCAGAGGTTGGTGTTCTAGCAAACGATTATCATAACTACAATTTTGATGTCGTTATAAAGTAATATGACGTCATTATAATGTCATTAATGTGATTTCATTGGCCAAAACCGTATAGATAGGTGAGTCCCTAAAAACTCAATGGTATACAACGTGACTTTAACAAAAAGTGTTTATAATAGAATATTAGGATGTCCTAACTTAAAGACTAATGTTGCCCATAGCAACACCAGTGACGTCATGCATATTTGTGACGCGCCGATTTGAGGCATAAGACATGGTCACGGAGAATCTCAATAGTTTACACAAAAGCGGTCCAATCAGCCATATAAATGTGTCTTTGAGTTGTCCTATAGCTCCTGCAGTGCAACCGGAGAATTATACTTCTGCGAGAAACGAGATTTATCGAGTTAAAATTTATGCATATTCACAAAGTTTTCAATGGTTTCCGCCATTGTTTTCAAGCCAAAATACGCACCAAAAGTGGGTTTTGAGGTGTCCGCTTAGGAGGCGAGGCACAGCTGTTTCCGGGTCGCGCTACCAACGCGACGGCAGTGTACGGGAGTAGTAGTAAGCATCCTCTGACAGCGTTTATGAAGTAACGATTTAACATTAAGTTCAAGAAAGTGAGGCTAAAACACTGGGCTTTTAGCGATAACCACACCATAGGGTGTTTGTGACTGATTAGCCCAAGGGCACGAACTTGCAATAAACTTATTACAAAATGTATTATCGAAGAGCAAGTTTAAAATTGCGTCATACTACTCATAGGATTGACCGCAAGTTTCATTATAGAAAATTTCCCGTCAAAAGTGGGCATTGTATATACTCTTAACAGAGCAGAGTGCTTCTTGCGTTATTGGAATGACGCAAACGTTAAGGTGCGTCATACGAATGACACAGTTTTATCACAAAAAGGTTTCCTGTCAAAAGTGGGTAAAGTATACTCACCACCGTTCAACTCAACTTTGCAGCAGGGAGCCAACACCCAGAAAAGTGGCCGTTGGCTCCCCTAGCAACACATAGAAACCACTTTTGACCCCGGTGTCCACAGATTTTGCCCATTGGTCGAAAATTGTCTCCTGTCCACCCAGTGTTAAAACATTTGCAGGAGGGGTTCTGCTAGGCCAGGTGAGGGGTTGTCTGGAAATCAGGGATTTGTATTGTAGCAGATGACCAACTGGTTCAATTTCAAAAGCATTTCTCGTGTCTGGAAAACGCGTACGCTTCAGGAATTTACATTTTAAGAATTTCACCCATAGCATCTGTTTGATTAAAAGCAAAATTTGAAATATTCACTGCCCAATTATAAGAAAGAGTTGTTAATTTGCTGGAGACTACAGACACTAAATTTTAAACTAGTTACTAGTATATTATCAGAGCTCCTAGTCAGAAATTCCAGTCTACGAATGACACTGTTTCACCACAGTAAGGCTTCCTGACAAAAGTTGGCGTGGTATCTACCCTTAACAGAGCATACTTGAAAGTGCATCATTGGAATGACAGTTTACCACGGCAGAACCTTTTCTATTTATTTATTTTCTTTATTGTTTGATTCAGGCAAAGCCCATAGACAACATAGACAACACAAAATACATAAATTTAAAAATACAATGTCTAGAATAAAAGGAACGGGGTCTATTTAAGGTTCTATGAATTTAGGCACGGAATAATACTCTTAACAGCCCAAACTTTAAAGTGCGTCATACAAATGACACTGTTTCACCACAGCAAGGCTTCCTTTAAAAAGTTGGCGTGGTAAGTACTCTTAAAAGAACATGCTTGAAAGTGCGTCATTGGAATGGCACAGTTTACCAAGTGCGTCATTGGAATGACACAGCTTACCATGGCAGAATTTTTTCTATGAAACTAGGTACGGAATATACTCTTAATAGACCAATCTTTAAAGTGCGTCAAGCGAATGACACTGCTGTTTCACCACAATAAGTCTTCCCGTCAAAAATTGGCGTGGTATGTACTCTTACAGCGCATACTTGAAACTGCGTCATTGGAATGACACAGTTTACCACGGAATAATTTTTTCTATGAAATTAGACACGGAAAATACTCTTGATAGACCAATCTATAAAGTGCGTCAAACTAATGACACTGCTTTTTCACCACAATAAGGCTTCCCGTCAAAAGTTGAGGTGGTATACATTCTACAGCGAATATTGGAATGACACAGTTTACAACGACAAAATTTTTCCTATGAAATTAGGTACGAAATATACTCTTAACAGCCCGATCTTTAAAGTGCGTGAAACAAATGACACAGTTTCACCACAGCAAGGCTTTCCGTCAAAAGTTGGCGTGGTAGATACTCTTAACAGAGCATAATTGAAAGTGCGGAGTTAACCACGGAAGAATTTTTTCTATGAAATTAGGCACGAAATATACGCTTAAGCCCAAACTATGAAGTGCGTCATACGAATGACACAGTTTCACCAGAGTAAGGCTTCCCGTCAAAAGTAAGTTGGAGTGGTATATAATCTTGAGAGCGCATACTTGAAAGTGCGTCATTGGAATGACACAGTTTACCACGGAAGAATTTTTCACAGTGGTAAAATTCGGGCATGGATCAGGTTGATCAGATGATATAATGTAACAAATTATATATGATTAGTAAAAGATGACTTTTGAAGTTCTCTTCGAGTATTATTTTAGGGTTGAATGTCACGAGGTTTATAAACTTGCATGTTGGGGACAAAGCCATGGAAGAGATTTTGAATAAAATTATCTAATTAAGTTAAAATGTACTTTTGTGTCTTA